TGTTATAACTGGTTAGGTGGTGTTAAAACTTGCTCGAACGTTGTACCAACGTCGTAGTTTCGGTGTGTGTTTGGTGGGCACTGTCCTCCACCCACCCTCAAACCAACAGCTAGCATCTTCTCCAGCTTCTAGCCAACAATTTACACCAGTCTCCGTGGTGTAGTGGTAAGACACTCGCCTGGCGTTCCGCGAGCGCTATGTCATGGGTTCGTATCCTGGCCGGGGAGGATTTACTGGCACAAATCCTTAACTGTAGCCTCTGTTTAACTCAACAGTAAAATGGGTACTTGGTTGTAACAACGTTTCTTCGCGGCGGAGATCGTATTCCAGGGACCTGCCCGAAACGCTACGCGTACTAGTGGCTGTACAAGAATGTAACAACTCTTGTATATATCTAAAAAAAAATCTAGACACCAGATTAATATATAAATCTTAGAATTAGCTGGTAACAGAGACAAAGCATCGCTACTGATTAATATGGTATAATAATTCATAGTACCCAAGACAATTTAGTGGAGTGACCACTCAATGATCACTCCACTAAATTGGAGTGATCATTACTCACCCTATGAATCCAAAAGGGATTTCGAGGTGGATTTAAAATATAAATTATTTAAAAATATTCTAAGCAAAGCACAGGAACGTATTATTCGATCTATCCATACAAATTGAATAGATCAAATAATAATGACCCCGAAAAGGATAACAAAGGATCTAAAGAACCTTATATATATATATATATATATATATATATATATATATATATATATATATATATATATATATATATATCATGACCTTAATGTATATACTCATTGTATATATACAACAATCGACGCGAGATGTTATATATTAAACTGAGTAATTTAACGAGATTGTTATTTGCTTAGCTAAATGAATTGTGAGGGTTCAGTTCCTGAGCCCATTATGTGCCTCTTTAGTCTTTACCACTACCCCCCACGGGATGGGTATGGAATCCATTGCTGCCCACGGGATGGGTATGGGGTCCACTGCCGCCCACGGGATGGGTTATGAGGTGCATGATAAATTGACCAAATCAAGCAAGACCTCTTATGTTTGGTGTCTGTGGTGACGGAACAATATGGAGGTAGTTGCCATAGGGTGGGTGAAGACACCTCCTTAACCTACTCATGACTGATCAGGTGATTAATATGTGAGCTTTTGCCTCAGCATAAGCTTACTCACTCTAACATAGCCAACCTATCTATTCCAATGCTCATTAGTCTGACAAACAGGATATTTTCAACGCTTTTAACTTAACGAACGCGAGTATAGAGGAACTAGATGAAAGCAGGTAGAGAGAGTGAGATGCAAAGGAGAACACGAGAGGTGGTGAGTAGGAGACTAAAAAAGGTAGTGAGAGACGAAGGTAGAGAGGGAGAGTGACACGAACACTCATGCACAAGCAACAGTTGGCAGTAATGGCACAGCATGATGTCAGACAGTCAACGGGGCAGTTATAATGTAACTGGCCAGCTCCACACTACCTGCTGCTCGTCTCTCTCTCTCTCTCTCTCAATGATCTCTAACTCCCGGTCTGATTTTCCGACTCTAATGTCCGCCTTAAACCCTTCTCCCTTCTCTCTCTCTCTCTCTCTCTCTCTCTCTCTCTCTCTCTCTCTCTCTAGTCCTTCCCTAGTTACTGTCTTCCAAAGGCAACAGATGCCAACTCGATCCGTAATGGTGAGCCATGCCACACACGTGTCTCAGGTGAACCTTTGCATCAGTCAGGCGAACCTTTGCATCAGTAAGATGAACCATTGGGTCAGTCAGGTGAACACCCGCGCTATCAAGGCTCCCTCTACAGTTAAGGAACCTTCCCTCTCGATTATCACCCTATTCTCTCTCAAGAAAAACGGGTCTATAGTAATTTCCCGAGCTCGATTGTCGATGATAACCAATAATACTAGGATCTGAGTGGGTAAGTTTGGACCACAGCCGAACCCCCCCCCCTCCCACAAGCCCCTCAAGCATCGGAGAAGCGGAACTCCGCTGGGTCGCCCTACTAATGTGACGCAAGGTTATATGCACGCAAGGTTATATGAAACCCCAGCCTTCATACCCTGCTTTCATGCGATCCTACAAACTCCAAACACACACACACGCAAGCAAGCAACAATTGCGCACTCACTCACACACACACACACACACACACACACACACACACACACACACACACACACACACACACACACACACACACACACACACACACACACACACACACACACACATACACACACACACACACCTCAGTTCCAAACGTGCACATCACCCCAAAATAACTCTTTAATTATGAAACACAATGTGAGGTTTTAGACTGGAGATGTAGCAATGCGCCCGTGTCCCGCGCCGTTAAGAACATGTAGTTCCCATCAACGAGTCAATTGAGCGTGGACGGTGGCGCTGGTCGTCCAGAGAACTGCTGGACGATCACGGTACTTAACAGTTGAGCAGCTGCTGGTTAGTGCGGAAGTAACAACAGCTGCTGGAATTGTTGATTAGTTTAAATATATCACACAATGGCAAATTCGGGGGGCGGGGGTTGATAACGCAACCATTAACAAATAACCAATGGAGGGGATTTTCGTTAATGATTGGCGCTATAATTACCCAATGGGAGTCTCGTTAATGCTATGCACTAAAATTAACCAATGGGGAGTTTCAATACTACTTTGAGTACTATAAAATAACCATTAAGAAGTCTCGTTTCCGCTATGCCCTTAATACTTCTTAATACACTTAATACACTATGCCCTTAATACACCATACTTCTCTCTGTTAACGATTACTCCACTTTTGTGGGGTAATCGTGTGGAAGATACCTGCAGGTACCTTCATTCTTATGTTCTTAAAATATAAATAATTATATATACACTAATAAGTGGTGTGTACTGTTATTTTTTTTTTTTTTGAGATATATACAAGAGTTGTTACATTCTTGTACAGCCACTAGTACGCGTAGCGTTTCGGGCAGGTCCCTGGAATACGATCCCCCGCCGCGAAGAATCGTTTTTTCATCCAAGTACACATTTTACTGTTGCGTTAAACAAAGGCTACAGTTAAGGATTTGCGCCCAGTAAATCCTCCCCGGCCAGGATACGAACCCATGACAAAGCGCTCGCGGAACGCCAGGCGAGTGTCTTACCACTACACAACGGAGACTCCCCCATACAAATAAATGACTTTATTTGGTGTTGGGCTTGATACCTAACAATCACTACAGGGTTATTAAGTAACCACAATTATTTACTGATCAAACAGGAAAAATAGTTTACTCCTAAACATGGTCTAGAGAAACATTCAAAGTGTGTATACACTGAGAAGCGGGTATACCTTTCAGTGTACACATCAATTCATTTACAGACTACACACATCCTTTCAGATTGGTTTGGTGTTGAGTTGAACGCCTATATCAACCTATGGAAGGTTATGAAGTCAACGCCAACAGTTTACTGACCAACCAGTAAAGATACTTCAAGTTCAAGTATGTTTATTGAGACAAGAAAATACATCTCAAACAGATAGAGCACCTTAAGCTATTTCTACCCTCCCCAGGAGGGATACTTTTGTCCTGAACTAAAGTAAATTCTCACTGTATATACACCAAGGAACAGGTTACACCTCTCAGTGCACATGTCTCTGTGCCCTTCATATCAATTCGATATACAATGATTCGACATCACTAAACACACGAGGCTCAAGAAAATCTTTGTTTTGAAAAAGTATATTGTATATATGATCCCTTCGCGTAAACTATGATTTTCTGCCGAATCGCAGAAAGTATTTTAAAATACCCAAAAAAGGAAAAATGTTTTTACAAATTTGTCTCGCTCCATGAAGTATCTCTGACCCCGGCTTGTTGACCCTCGGCTCGAAGGACATCACCTGGCGACCAAGGTGTCTGGATCACTCCAGCCTGGAGTAAGCAGACTGTGTTGTCTGGCAATTATCAGACACACACACTAACACAATGTCCATATGTATTTAGTCGCACGATCTAGGCCCTCATCAAGTGTGTCTTGCTTAAGCAAGCACTCATCTAAGGTCACCTCACGCTTGAGAGAGAGAGAGAGAGAGAGAGAGAGAGAGAGAGAGAGAGAGAGAGAGAGAGAGAGAGAGAGAGAGAGAGAGAGAGAGAGAGAGAGAGAGAGAGAGAGAGAGAGAGAGAGAGAGAGAGACAGAGAGAGAGATAAAGAGAAACTTTACACCTGTTACCGTATAACAACAACGGGGCAAGACAGTGTAATAGAGTAACAGAGTATTATCAGGAGGCTTATGTGGATCTTACACAAACACAACACAGCGATTGGGAAATCAGACCTGGAAATGGACATAATATCAGTCTAATATATCTGAACGCCAACGATATCGTACAGTGTGAGGCAACAGCGCTTTGTGTTACAAAAATAAAAAAAATTCCTCGTCTGCACGTACACTGTCATCTTATTCCTCGTCTTCTCCCCCCCCCTACGTCACCCCCTCACTTTCATCCCCCTCACCCACGTCCCCTCCCCCATACATCTTACTTCCCCAGCCTCCCACTGCTCACGGGAAAACATCTCCCGTCACGCAGGGTGTAGTCGCACCTCCACAGATCTCCAGTATCAGCTCATGATACTGGCAATAGCTCAAAAGGGCCACCACTTACGGGCAATTCATGCCCGTGCCACCTCTTGGGTGGCTTAATCTTCCTCAATCAATCAATCCCAGTGCTTGCACTGACAGACAACGTCGGAGGTCCGCCTATTCACACCTCACCCATGAGAATGGGGGACATAACAACACGAATAATATTGATATTTTTATGGTAGACTTTAATACACCGACGATTTAATTAAAAACAAATTTCTAATAAAATACAGCAAACTCGAGTGTTTAAGCGAAGATTATGTTTGACACAGAAGCACCTCAAGCGAGGAATATGTTAGGATAATTAATTTTTGCTGAGGATTTAATAAATTAGTTGCGTGTCCCAGCTCCTGGGTGTGCTGGCTACACTGTAGACGGGTACACTGGTGCTGGCTACACTGTTGAAGGGTACACTGGTGCTGGCTACACTGTTGAAGGGTACACTGGTGCTGGCTACACTGTTGAAGGGTACACTGGTGCTGGCTACACTGTTGAAGGGTACACTGGTGCTGGCTACACTGTTGAAGGGTACACTGGTGCTGGCTACACTGTTGAAGGGTACACTGGTGCTGGCTACACTGTTGAAGGGTACACTGGTGCTGGCTACACTGTAGACGGGAACACTGGTGCTGGCTACACTGTAGACGGGTACACTAGTGCTGGCTACACTGTAGACGGGTACACTGGTGCTGGCTACACTGTAGACGGGTACACTAGTGCTGGCTACACTGTAGACGGGTACACTAGTGCTGGCTACACTGTAGACGGGTACACTGGTGCTGGCTACACTGTTGAATGGTACACTAGTGCTGGCTACACTGCAGCCGGCTACACTGATGCTGGCTACACTGCAATTATCTACTGATATGTAACACTGAATACGGTTAGCCTTGTATGATTATCAATATATGTGATAGTGTTTCTTTATACGGGTAGTCCTGTATAAGGAGGGTTCTGTATACAGGTGGGTCCTATATACAACTGGTCGTGTACACGCGTGGCATGGTATACGGGTGGCCCGGTATACAGGTTATGTATACGGGATAGCCTTGAATACTGATAGTCATGTATACCAGAGGTGCTGAATACCCTGAGACATATGTCAGTAAATGTCATGTGATTCAATACGTCGACGACTGTCAAGTGATTCAATACGTCGACGACTGTCAAGTGATTCAATACGTCGACGACTGTCAAGTGATTCAATACGTCGACGACTGTCAAGTGATTCAATACGTCGACGACTGTCAAGTGATTCAATACGTCGACGACTGTCAAGTGATTCAATACGTCGACGACTGTCAAGTGATTCAATACGTCGACGACTGTCAAGTGATTCAATACGTCGACGACTGTCAAGTGATTCAATACGTCGACGACTGTCAAGTGATTCAATACGTCGACGACTGTCAAGTGATTCAATACGTCGACGACTGTCAAGTGATTCAATACGTCGACGACTGTCAAGTGATTCAATACGTCGACGACTGTCAAGTGATTCAATACGTCGACGACTGTCAAGTGATTCAATACGTCAACATCTGTCAAGTGTTTCTATACGTCGACGATTGTCAAGTGATTCAATACGTCAACGACTGTCAAGTGTTTCAATACGTCAACGACTGTCAAGTGTTTCAATACGTCAACGACTGTCAAGTGATTCAATACGTCGACGACTGTCAAGTGATTCAATACGTCGACGACTGTCAAGTGATTCAATACGTCGACGACTGTCAAGTGTTTCAATACGTCAACGACTGTCAAGTGATTCAATACGTCAACGACTGTCAAGTGTTTCAATACGTCAACGACTGTCAAGTGTTACTATACGTCGACGACTGTCAAGTGATTGTGTATGTCAGTAACTGTATATAACTAGTCGTTGTGTCAAATACGACCGCTATAGAGAGTACAAGAAAATTAGTCAACAGTAAGACTCATTAAATAACCACAAACTAGTATTTTATGTTTCATATCAGAGTTAGGAATAAATGTTCGAAACTCACGATCCGGAACATATAAACATCATGTAAACAGAGAGGAACAACAAAACAATGGCGCAGAGATACCACATAATTTGTTTTAACTAAAACAACGACAGATATAGCAATAATCCTAATTTAATATCCACCCTGAAGATGATAGACTGCAGCCAACGTGGCAGTCAACACCTGTCTTAATCCCTGCCTCCAGCTGTTTTAGCACCTGTGTCCACCTGCTTCAGCCTCTGCGGCCACCTGTTTTAGCACCTGTGTCCACCTGCTTTAACTCCAGCGTCCACCTACATCGACCACCACAAGACGCATGCCTCAATTAGCCATCTATCACACTGCTGTGGCTGGTTCATCTGGCTTTTAGTTGCAATACATTCTCTGTCTCTCTCTCATTCTCTCTCTCTCTCTCTAATTCTCTCTCTCTCTCTCTCTCTCTCTCTCTCTCTCTCTCTCTCTCTCTCTCTCTCTCTCTCTCTCTCTCTCTCTCTCTCTCTCTCTCTCTCTCTCTCTCTCTCTCTCTCTCTCTCACGCCCTCCCTCTCCCTCCTCTCTCTCTCTCTCTCTCTCTCTCTCTCTCTCTCTCTCTCTCTCTCTCTCTCTCTCTCTCTCTCTCTCTCTCTCTCTCTCTCTCTCTCTCCCCTCTCTCTCATTCAGAGTGAAAGGCAGGTCTATATAACACTGACCACTATACCTATATATAATACTGACCACTATAACATTGTATATTATATACAGAGTAATTTTTGTATTCAAATATTTAAGTATATTCGCATACATGCAGCAATCCTTGCATGACTACATGAAGGGTTAGACGGGTCTTGTCAAGAGCTAACATGGAATCAACAGAATCTTGAGTTAACCCAATCCTCCTACTGGTCGAGGCCTACTACTGCTATTGAGGAGGCCTAGTCGACGACCGGGCCGCGGGGACGCTAAGCCCCGAAACCATCTCAAGGTAAGGTAACCTACTGGGCTATATTGGCCAATTTCAACACCACTGTTGCATTTTTAGTCGGAAGTATTTTAAAGTTTCTAATCACTAGGATAAAGAGGAGCGTACACACAGTCGAGTCACAAACACACACACAAGGTCGTCTTTGACGACAGACAACGTCCTAAACCAACAATAACATTAGCGCCTCGCCACAAGCACTCTGATCACTGACATTTCCGGAAGAGCAATATTCTGCTGAAATAACCTAGTTAACTCGAGCGTAACCCGCGCCACGAGTTAATTACGCAAATTCTATTACACTCATAACCCCCAAACCTACCACCAGCCCTCCCTCTCCCCCCGTCGCGGAAAACAAAACACTTTTCTCTTTGGACTTGATGAATATAACTCAGTTTAATGGGTTGCTAAGTGCGAGGCGACATAAATCAGACGACTCCTCTTGCTGCTGAATTGCTTTATGTTGAGCGGCTCTCCTGGTAACATTGTTAGTACCGGAGAGGGACGGGGGAGGAGGCAGCTCTCGGACCATTATCTTCACTTCCTCCAGGAAGCCACTATGGTGTGTGCGGAGTCGGGACGCAGCACAGCGACCACAGGAGGAGATCAGCAGGTAACAGACTGACAGCAGGTGTAAAATAAAGGGTAGTAAAATGACTATATATATATATATATATATATATATATATATATATATATATATATATATATATATATATATATATATATATATATATATATATATATATATATATATATGTAATGTCTCTGAAGGGAAGAGGAAGGGGGGGGGGACACAACATCTGTTTGGAAAAGTGCTCCGAGAACAAGTTTTTTTCCCTAAAGAAACGGATCATGTAATATGAACGAGAGGTTTAGATCAATGATTCTACCACGAAACGTCTGATGTTCATACGTTGGTAGAGCTGTTAAAAACATATAACCCTCCGAAGTTCAGTTTACAATTTTAACGAGCCGGAGGACTCGCGTCTCACACAGTATATACACATAGTAAACTGCGCCAAGTTTACTTCTCCTCTTGCTCCCTCAGTGGAGAAAGTCACTCGGGATATAACCGTTTATAATTAATACAAATATCAAAATTAACGAATACGGTTCGGAAATGTAAGAGAATGACATTTTAAAGCACCACCCCTCATAAGTTATAGAAAATGTAGGTAGAAAACGCGATGCGTTATACCAGCTGGAAGAGAGCCATGGAAGGACCCTTAATTATTCAATGTCCCTACAAGAGACTAGTCATATATATATTTTATAGGACTGAATTATATAATGTTGTTTTGTTCTTGTGTCCCGCACGCTGCGTGTGCCTGTCAGTCCTGTACAAGACAAGGAACACCAAGTTATATATATATTTTCTTCAAGCACTTTGTAGAATATATTTCTATATACAAAATTGGGTCGGAAGATATTGCTCTCTGTTCAATATACTTGTCTCAGAATGTTGCTTTCTATTGAACATGTTTGTTCTCAGATATCTACTTTTACTATATATCGGTAGGTTAGGTTAAGTGGGTTGTTTGGGTACGTACGCTTCTGGTTAGGTTAGTACTTTGTATGATGTACGTTGAGGACATAGAAGAGAACGGGTTGTACCGTCGGTGGAGGAGTCTGTACCATAAGTGGAGTCTGTACCAATAGTGGAGGAGTCTGTACCATCAGTGGAGGAGTCTGTACCATCAGTGGAGGAGACTGTACCATCAGTGGAGGTGACTGTACCATCAGTGGAGGAGACTGTACCATCAGTGGAGGTGACTGTACCATCAGTGGAGGTGACTGTACCATCAGTGGAGGAGATTGTACCATCAGTGGAGGTGACTGTACCATCAGTGGAGGAGATTGTACCATCAGTGGAGGTGACTGTACCATCAGTGGAGGAGATTGTACCATGAGTGGAGGTGACTGTACCATCAGTGGAGAAGACTGTACCATAAGTGAAGGAGTCTGTACCATCAGTGGAGGAGACTGTACCAAGGTGAGAATACACCCTTCGAACCCCGGAGTGATTCGAACGTTTCCCATCTACAAGGATTCATCTTTCCACAAGATTTATCTTTCAATTTAAGCCAAGAAACGTTCATCCTGGCTAGATGAGTCGCTGATGATCAAGCACTTCTCTGGACGTCTGATAAGCACAATGTACCCACAAATGTGTACAAAAGAGTACACACATTACTTTCAGTATTCTACTGCTCATATTTATCTGCATTTGGGGTTCTCCAACTAACAAGGATGGACTCTGCACTCGACAAATTCGCTGAGTTATTTATCTCGTTATCGTAAATATTTCTATAAAAGATCTTTCACAAAACTTCCGTCTAACTTCCCTTACCTGCTCCTTCATCTCTCCCTTCCCCTCCCTCCCACCTGTCCCTCTCGTCCTCTCCCTGAACGAACACGCTGGGAGAGTGATGGCAGCATAGCTCTCAGTCGCTGCTGGGAGGGGCTGCTCCTTCCCTCTCCCTCACTACTCTCTACACAGAACCACCAACTTACATATCGTGACGGTTCCCACGAGTAATAACCCAGGCGTCCACAAGGCGCTCCCAGAGACCACAACACCTACCAACGTCACGTCTTTCCCTTCCCTTATCCCCTCCACTCCCCTCCCTTAGCCCTTCCACTCCCCTCCCTTACCACGCCCAACCTCCCCGACTACCAATTGACACAACCACCAAACTACACCAGAACAATTCCCCTCGCCGGCCTCACATATTTGGCGATTACATTTGCTTGAACAAACTGAAGTCCACATCTCGCAGGATTGTTTGCCATACATGGGATGTGAGACACGACAACAGGAAGTCTAATGTCTAGTAAGTAATCATCAACAGAAAGCCCAAAGCTTGGAAAATAGGATAATACCATGTTGCAATGGTACAAAACAGTCAAGAGAACAAATATTGTTCCAACTGTCAACACGAGACAGTAAAAAAGGCACAAGGTGAACGGTGTCAGAGGAGTCAGACTTACCGAAGATAATATCGAGAAAACCGACAAGATGGAACCGTTGAAAAGCAAAATTTCTGATCGTCAAAAATATTTCCGAATCGTGCAAGTTTTACAGTAGGACTTTGCACGCGTCTACCGCAACAGGCGAGTGAGTAAACTCTACGGGCTCACCATAGCCCGTGCTACTTGGAACAAAAAGTTCCAAGTAGCGAATCTTAAACAAGAGAGTGAGTAAAGAGGTCAACTAAGCCTAGTAGTCAGTGGCCACAGACACACACACACTCGGGCCTTGGAGGGATCCACAAGCCCTACCGATAGTAGCAGTCTTGTAACGACCACTGGTATAACCTATACATATAGGCTCCAGGTGTGGAACGTACGATTTCATATTTGCAACTTACAGCTCTCCCCCAACCCATCATCCTCCCATCTTTATCTGAATCATCATATTTAATAATACCGCATGTGAAAATGGTATCCATCCATTGGAGATTCTATAGCCCATGGTATATACAGTACTACATTATTTATACATACTGTTATGATATTCATGAAACTCATCCTCCTGAAATGGGAGTACTTATAGTAACTCTCTCGTCCAAAGTACCAGAATGTTGTGATGGACCGCCAGTAAAACAATTTTTGTAATATTCATTTTATTTAGTCCTGAAAAAAATAAAGCTAAAATCAAACCTAAATATTCCTAGGCCTAGTATAGTACACACATGGATTATATTAGGCCTAAGATCACGTATATTAGACCTAGAATTACTAGGAGAGGTTAGGTTAGGTCTTATATTTATGTTACGATTAAAAAAGTACCTGTTTGTCCGAATTGAAATTTATAAACGACAATTTTCTAGTGATCCTAGAAAATTTTCAATTTTCTACATATGGGTACTTTCGACCACTTTCGACTATAATTACTTTCACTTCAGGAGGGAGGGAATTATCATAAGGGGAATTGTTATAAACCATTACGACTTTATAGCACTTGGAAGAGATCAGGATAAGGATTTGGGATAGGACGAAGGGAAAGGAATGGTGGCAAACCATTTGGATAGTCGGGGATTGAACGTCGACCTGCATGAAGCGAGACCGTCGCTCTACCGTCCAGCCCAAGTGGGTAAGTCTCGTGGTTTTCAAGAGTTTCAGACCTGACATCCGTCGTGGGGCCTCGAGCATTGGGCGAGACTCCCGCCTTTAATGTGTTAAATTAATAACACCGATAAGATGGAAAATGTGGATGGGTCAGTCCGCGTCAGTTATCGTGTGTTGTATATATCTTCCGCGTTGGTTTGTCAGCCCGTCTTATTCTGGCAGTGCATATTATGTCTCTCTGGCAGTCTGTTTAACAGTGTCCTTCCGTGCCTATTGCTCAAGCCGTCAATTTATACTAGTGCGTCAATCTGCGTCAGTCCATCTCTCCGTGGCAGGGCATCAAGCAAAGTCAGTCAATCATTCCGTGGCAGTCAACTGAGCAGTCAGTGTCAGCCCGGCCGCACAGGACAGTAAGATCATCATTTGCTCATGTGCCTTTCGGCGTCGCTCAGATTCATCACACACTCGCGTGAAGCTGCGAGCTGCTGCTAAACGTTAAGTCCACTACGGGCTCACCATAGCCCGTGCTACTTGGAACTTTTTGTTCCAAGTAACAAAAACAACAACAACAATGCTAAACGTTTGTTTGAATTGTCAGCAAACCACTTAACAGGCAGCAGACTTCAGTAGTTCTAGGGAGAATATTGGCTATCCTAAAAACTATTGGCTATCCCACTTTCTATTAAGTCTAATGGCCTGGGGCTTTCCCCCCGATAGTTCCCTTCCCATCCATTTACCTGATATGAGTTGTTATATAGACTTTAGGAGCGACGTTGACCTCATATCCTCATCTCAGAAGATGTTCATGTATAGGATGTGAGATTTTTTGTTTAATCTGTGCTAACATATTTCGGGTAGACTAGGAGCATGTCTTGAAAGCTTGGAGCATGTCTTTTAAACTCTATAACATATATGTTATAGAGCATGTCTTGAAAGCTTGAAACATGTCTTTTGAACTAGAAGCATGTCTTGAAAGCTAGGAGCTTGTCTTTTAAACTAGGAGCATGTCTTGAAAACGTCTTCTAATATCCCTGAGTGAATGAAATAGTTATATAAAGTTTAAAATATGTCATTTCATCTGGTCTGAAATTATTCATAATTGGACAATAATTAATATGTTAAATTTCGTGTTCGAACCTTTTTATTTTTATCAAATTGGCAAATGTTTTGTCACACCTTCTTGTGCAGTCCATACATATAGTTCAGAATTCTAACCATATCATAGCTCTTAACACTAGATTTCTTCCCTTTGAAGGTTTGTGATTGGTCAAGTCAGACACAATAAATTGAAGTAGTGCGGCTATAACACTAATGATTGACATGCATATATCAACTTTACATATGTTACAGAGCAGCTTTAGCTTTCTGGTTTGTATCAAGCTGGAAAATTCCTTTACGAGTCGGTATTCATACAAAATATTATTCTTTACATCAAATATTTTATTAATAAGTCCTATAAAGAGAATCTTAATGAGTATTTTGCAGGTTAGATTTGTAAGTACTTGGGGCCAGATTCACGACAGCACTTACGAACCTGTACATCTTTTATCAATCTTTGGCGGCTTTGTTTTCAATTATCAAACAGTTAATGAGCACCGAAGCACCAGGAAGCGGTTTATAATAATAACAACAGTTGACTGGCAAGTTTTTATGCTTGTAAACTGTTTAATAAATGTAACCAAAGCCGTCAAAGATTGAAGAAAGATGTACACGTTCATAAGTGCTTGCGTAAGTGCTTTCGTGAATCTGGCTTTTGAACAGTTGCCCATGAATTACAGAAAAGTACTCGACTATTGTATTTACAGTGTATTGTAGTGAACTGGAGATATTAAACTGATCAAACAGTACTCTGACCATTTGTTTAATAGATTTTGGAGTATTTTCTACTTTATACGTGCTTGATATTAACGAGCTCGTTGAAGGTGAAGAGTTCATAGGGCATGAAACCGAAGCTGAGAAAATGTTCAATTGTCTGAGAAATTTAGCAGTGAATACAGTTTTAATTTATGTCTGCCGCTGTATCACTGCTGTTTGCTGTGTGTCTCCGGTCGTAGTCTGGTCAATAAATTGAAATTAAAATTGAAATAAGTTTATCGAGGTATAAATACACAAAAGGATGAGGTAGCTCAAGCTATTCTCACCCCGATTGATTGATTGATTGATTATTCTCGCCTCGTTTAGCCTTTTCACTGCTATGTATCTCAGTGCCAGGTGAGGTGCCAAGCATCCCAGATCTCACAGATCTATTTTATGATACAATAATACATTGGACATAATGCTTTCAATTTTGCCCTGAATTATTTAATATTGATGGATTTTAGAGCCTACTTATCCGTGATGAATAGGGGACTAGATACCAAACTACACATCTGAAAATAATGTATGTGACGACGTTTCGATCTGTCATGAATATTTCGGTCCCAGACGGACCCAAATGTCATTCAGACTTACTGTGCTCATGTTAATGGGGGCTCAGTGGTAAAGAGTACTAAAGGTGAGTACTTTATCTGTGCAAGTCAAGCTATATACACTGAAAACGTGTCCATCCTAAAAACCAGCTGAATGTATATGAATATACATTTATATGAATAGATATTGAATGTACAAATAAAGCTTATAATCTTGTTTTAAAATGTTTAGACTAACACGTGTGACATTATGACAACAGCTACTCTGGCATTGATTACTCTGTGACGAACGTGTGTGGCAACTAAGAGAGACAAAGAGACAAACAGAAAGACAGAGAAACGACAGAGACAAAGTACAAATAGACAGTCAAACAGACAGGCACATCAGAGCGCCAGACCGAAAATGAACAGCGGGCCAATTTACCCCTCACGGCACTCCCGAGCCTCGGAACAACTACACCATTACACCCACACAACAGAACCATTCCATCCCACAACGTAAAGAGACTCACAACACCGCGCCAATAACACGAAACTAACAACAGCGCCTCCCAACAACAACAACAAGAGACAAAATCAAACAAGAGGAATGAACGAGACCACAACATTACCCGCCGCGCCATTAAGGACAGCCCCACCAGCCCCAACAAGAGAAGAGAGAGAGACAAGAGCATAGCAACAAGAGCCAAAGAACTGCGTGCATTAGCGACAGGAGCCGCGGCCTCACCGAAGGCACAAGTAATGACAATATTCCCCGTTACTGACAGTTCTTGTATTACCTAAATAATCATTACCATCAATGGGGAAAAAATGCAGGTATTATCCCAGTAGCAGCTCGACGATTTCACTGCTAGTGGTGGAGGCAGCAGAAGCAGCTTGCACACTTTCACTGCTAGTGGTGGAGGCAGCAGAAGCAGCTT